TCATACAAAGCCCTCAGGAATTTTAACAGAACCCGATTAGACAGAATTAAGAGGAGTTATTAAGTTCTTAAAAAAAAAAAAAAAAAAGCCCAAGTGGCATCTTCACAAATTCATGTAACCCAAATTTAGCAGCTTAGCAACTTCATGCTGTGTGCTGCACAGTCACTGTTAAAAACAGTTTCGTTTCTACTCTGATTCCCAAACCCACACCTGACCTACCTCCTTTCAGCAGGTGCCTTGCCATTTTTATTTATGGAGTGAAGGTTGTTTGTAGCTTGAACTATCTCAACTGTTCACCCTCTCAACTCCAGTTCAGGTCTCTTGGTTTTTCCTGCCTGTTGGAGAGAAAGGAAGGGTCCAGAATTCCCACTAGGGTCCTCAGACTCCTCCTCTGTTCTCTCCTCAGAAACTTCCATTCAGTGGACATCCTACTGCTTGCATTTCAAGCTCTCCATCTTTACTGGTGGTCTCCTTTCGAATGAAAAACTGAAAGGTGACCATACAAAACGAAACCTTAAAAACTCCAGGGGGAAAAAAAAACACTAGTTAAAATGCTTACCTATAGATGGCATCAGCTAAAACTACAAACATGATGAAATAAACCTCTACTTTCTACGTAGAGGTCAGGTATGCACTTATGTTCTTGAGGACTTAGAAGATTCATATTCTAAGAAACCATCTAATTCTTTGAAGGCCCAACCTCAGTGTCACAGAAGCTGAGCAGTCCCGCTGTGTGAGCAAAGGCCAAGGAATGGTACCCTTGTTTATGCAACATATGGTATCAATGGTTAAGCAGTCCTTACCTAGCAACTTTTACATTAGATTTTTTTTCTAGAAATGCCTTTTCACATTATGTGCAAAATCAAGTCTTCTTCAGAGAAAGAGTTTATCCATTGGACACTTGGTATCCTTCTCCAAGACAGCACTGGCTTAGTGCATCCAGATAAGGTTAGACTCTGCACATCTTAAAACTCACTGTGAGCAGCTCCTGGGTGACTCAATTGGTTGAGCATCCAACTTTGGCTCAGGTCGTGATCTTGCAGTGGTGAGTTCGAGCCCCACATTGGGCTCTGTGCTAACAGCTCAGCGTCTGGAGCCTGCTTCAGATTCTGTGTCTCCCTTTCTCTCTGCCCCTCCTACATTCACACTCTGTCTCTCTCAAAAATAAATAAACACTTTAAAAATTTTAAAAAGTCATTGTTATGACTCAGAGAGACTGAAACATTACATTTTTCTAAGGATCCAGGAAGCATTACATCTCACCAAAGATTAATATCATCTTTTACTACAAGTGGAGTTGGGAAAAGGAATAAAATGTAATTCATATATTCATCAATAAATATTTACTAAGGGCCTCCTAAAGAGGCACTGTATTAGGTGTTACGACAGACAGAGGTGGCTCCAAAGATAAGCCAGATACGGACTCTGCCTCAAGGAATTCACATGGTGCTGGGTGACAAGACACAAACATGTAAATAACTATGGTACAAGACAGATAATGATTCATGCCATAAGTGAGGTCAAGACACTGAACAGATTTCCTAGGAGGAAGTGACCAGCCTTAAAAATTTGTGCATCAGCAATTTCCTTACTTCATTTTGAATCCCAAAGCCCTAGTGCAAATCTTTCTGTGGAGATGATGTGAATGTAATAGAAATCACCACTGAGGAATCTGTAACAGAAAGTATTCTAATTGCGGCACTTTTCTGGTACTGCAGGGGCCTCCAAGATTCAATAATACCCATCCACAACACTACCCGAAGTCCTGAGGATGGTGTCTTCTGGATTCTTCTAGATGCGGCTGTCAGGCTACCTGGGGCAGGGTAGTAATTGCCATGGATTTCTGGGACACTGCAGCTTTAAAAACGTGTTTCCATCCATTATCTGTTAATTATTCTCCCTGAGGACAGCCTGGTACCATGTAAAGAGCTGCCAGGACACCAGTGTTCTCATTCTACCCAGTTCTCTCTGACGCAAAACGAAGGAGCTGGTCATTTGTTCTCTCCAAGGTTCTGTGTGTAGCTAGGTGAGTAGGGCAAATTTTATTATCATCATTTTATAGATAGGGAAACTAAAGTCAGTAGAGCTCAAGGGATCTGCCCAAAATCTCAGGTAATAATTGATAACCAATTCTTGAGATTAGACCTCAGAGCTGTGGAGAAAGCATTTTCTACTGTATCATACTCAGAACCACTCCTAGTGTTTGTGGGCAAGAGGGCAAAGAGAGGCCCACATAGCATTTGATCTACGCATTTAAGTTATAAATCAAGATAATGAACTGTGAACAAAATCTAATCTCTCCTCTCACCGTGACAAACACCTCCTCACAAGGACCTGGATGGCCAGGTGTGAATCAGGAACTCCTGAACCCTTCCAGAAGAGGCCGGAAAGTGCCAGGGAAGGCAAGCTGACTCCACTGAGCTCTCTTCCTGCACCTGGTAAGGGCTCAAAGTGCCTGGGAGTGCACACCTCCGCCCACAGGGCCAACCTTGTCCACACCCAAACAAGGAGCCATTCCTGGATACAAGGCTGGGTTCCAAGGCCCAAGCAAGTCATAGAGGAGGGTTTGGTACTATTTGGCCAGAGGATTCCAGAATTCAGACTCCCTGGAGCATGGTCTAGAGGAGGGTTTAGACTCCTTGACCCCGGGGGGGGCCTATTCCCAGAGAACCACAGGGCTTTGGGCAGAGGTCCCTCTTGCTTGAGTTTACAGGACAGTCTGATCCCACTACCTGAAGACTGAACCTAAGAAAGGGTAAACTCCGAGATCTCTCTTGTGAGAAGGTCGTAAGGCCTGGTAGTTACAAACCAGGGTTCTGCAGCTGCACACCTGGCTTGGGAATCTAGCTTGGCCACTCACTAGCCATGAAATCGCAGGCAAGTTACCGAACATCCTACGACCTCAGTTTCCTGTCTTTACAATAAACCTAATTATTATTATCATGTGGAGTATACCAGACCTGTAAAACCTTGGGCAGACGTTAAATGCTAGGTAAACGTTGCGGGGGTTCTCTTCGGCTGCATTAGGTGAATGCGCCTCCGAGAGGTTTTTCTGGGGAATTCTCTAAGCAGAGTTGCATCCAGGCTCTTTGATTATCAAGGTTAAACCGTGCTCTCCACTAAATTAAACAGTGGGGCCAGGGGGCGGTGCGGGCACCACCCACCCCACCCAAAGCCTAGGCTGCCGCCCACGTCCCGCTGGGTGGGGAGGCGGGGGACTTCACGCTGCAGACGCTGCCCGTTGTGAGCTACAGCCAAGGAGCTCGGGGAAGGTTAACTCGGAAACGTGGCCGTGAGTCACGGCGGACTAAGGAACTGATCCCAAACCTTAGCACACAGCCTCTCCGTCCGTCTGATGCGCAGGGTTCAACCAGTAAGAAGTAGCAGCGGATTAAAAAAAAAAAAAAAAAAAAAAAAAAGCAGGACACGGAGCGGGGGTTGACGCAGCTCAGTCCCCTCCTCCCCGCCTCACTTTGGCGCTCACGCAAACTTCGCCGAGTCTTTTGACAGGTCTTGACATCTCTCCTCCGCGAGGAAACAGGGAGACTCAGAGCAAGTGGAGACATCTCCGTCGCACCTCCCGTGAGTGCGAGCGCAGCCAGGTTTACAGACCGCCCGCCCCAAACGAAGATGTTTTACACGGGCAAGCCCGGGCACTGCCCCACCGCTCCCGGTGACACGAACTCAACGTGGCCCGTTTCCACACCCGAGGCCCCCCACATCCCTCCCTGCAAAACCCATGCAAACTTTGCTGCTGCTTGTGGACCGAGAACTGTAACCAGACCTCTCTGTTCCCTTTAAGGGCCAGTCGTGACTGGGCATCGAGAAGTCAGACTCCCGAAAACACCAACAAAGAACTATATTTAGCTCTGAGCTCTCCGCCTAAATTCCTCTTATTTTTTCACTCGGAGCTTCAAAACGACTAGGTTGGGGAAGTGGGAGGAAGGGGGCGGGGGAGCAGCAGAGAAAGAACAGCTGTGCCTCCGCCTCTCAACTCGATCTCTATAAATAACCAATCACTAGCCTAGACTACTTTTTAGCCAATGAAGCAACCCAAACTGGTAAAACCTTGGCGGTAGCCAATGGAGAAACAGCTAGGGGCGTGAGATTTGCGCCCCGGAACCAGCGGGTCCCGAGTCTGGGAGAGGTAATTTGAGCTGGAGTGTGGGTGTGTGGTGCAAAAGCTTCCTATTTCTAAGCCCGAAAACCTGTTCTGCCCACTGAGCATGCCCTGACTGGCTGCGGGCGCCGCCACGGCTTTGGGGATCGGGCTTCGGTCCGACCTCCGGGTTTCCGCCCCAGCCGAGGGAGAACGTGGGTGGGACCCGCCCAGTCCCGGCCGGCAGGGACTCGGGTGGCGGGAGGCGTATCCCTTCCCAGTCGGGACAGTGCTTCCAGCGGAGAGTTCCTGTTTTCCTTGTCCGGGAGATGAAGCTCAGGAGGGGTGGCCAGATGAAGGCCGAGTGGCGCTTCGGGAGCGAAGGGTTTAGAAAAAGCTGCGCCTTGGGTGGGGGAAGGTGCTCCGCCCTTCGCTCTCGCACCCAAATGCCCTTTGGGTTTCCGGCCCGGAGACGCACACCCTCTGGGGCCTCGGAGCGTGCAGTCCATGAGCTTCTGATAACGGGAGTGCGGAAGAGCGCAGAGCACCCTGGTCCCGGAGCGGACCCCCGCGCCCACACGCCTCTTGCAGAGCCGCCGCCCTTACGCACGCACCTACCCTCCCACGCTTTCGTCTTCTCACCTGAGCTTCCCCAGCACCCCCTCCAACGCCCACACACTCCCCGCACATTTCTCATCCAGCTCCCGGACCCGAGCCTCGCCCTCCGCTCCACGGGGCTCGAATCGTTGGCCCCACCCACGGCCCCGCCCCCGCCCGGCCCCCAGGAAAACCAGGCGGGGCGGATCGGGCTGGCGCGGCCGGCGGCGCACTGGGCATGCTCGCCGCGGAGGGGAGGGCCGGGTGCGCGCGGCGAGTAGGAAGCCGTCGCCCCGCGGAGGCTGCGGGAGAGAGCGCGATGGGCCGCGGCGGTGGGCGCACGCTCCGCGGGGACTCATGCCACGCGCGTCCCGGGCCGGCGCGCGACTAGCAGCCACCTCCGCAGCCCGCTGCCGCCGCCGCTTCGCCCTCCCGGGCGGACCGCGGCGAGGAACTGCAACCGGCGCCTCGCACGGGCTGCCGGCATTGTCCTCCCGGTCCGCCGCCGCGGGCTGCTGCGGGGCCCCGGACCCGCGCCCCAGGGACGCGCCGCCGGCCCCCCGTGTGCTGAACTGTGAGCCCTGCGCTCCCAAGCCACTCTCTCCGAGGTCTTTCCTGCGGAGCTGAGGAAGAGGAGACGTCCCGCCGCCAAGCCCAGGCTGCCCCCCGGCGCGCAGCCCCGACGGGGCCGCGGCAGGCGCGGCGCGAGCGCCGACGGAGCCATGAGAGAGTACAAAGTGGTGGTGCTGGGCTCGGGCGGCGTGGGCAAGTCCGCGCTCACCGTGCAGTTCGTGACGGGCTCCTTCATCGAGAAGTACGACCCCACCATCGAGGACTTCTACCGCAAGGAGATTGAGGTGGACTCGTCGCCGTCGGTGCTGGAGATCCTGGACACGGCGGGCACGGAGCAGTTCGCGTCCATGCGGGACCTGTACATCAAGAATGGCCAGGGCTTCATCCTCGTCTACAGCCTCGTCAACCAGCAGAGCTTCCAGGACATCAAGCCCATGCGGGACCAGATCATCCGCGTGAAGCGGTACGAGCGTGTGCCCATGATCCTGGTGGGCAACAAGGTGGACCTGGAGGGCGAGCGGGAGGTGTCGTACGGCGAGGGCAAGGCCCTGGCCGAGGAGTGGAGCTGCCCCTTCATGGAGACGTCGGCCAAAAACAAAGCCTCGGTGGACGAGCTGTTCGCCGAGATCGTGCGGCAGATGAACTACGCGGCGCAGCCCAACGGCGACGAGGGCTGCTGCTCGGCCTGCGTGATCCTCTGAGGCGCCCGCGGCTGCCGCGCGCCGGCCGCGCTCTGCGCACAAAAGCCCGACGCACCCGACTCTAAATGTGATTCCTCTTCTTGCTTTGAGATTGGAGACGACTTTGCATCGGCCGGGGTGTCCCGCGAGCCCGGCTGGCCTCTACGGCCGGCGTCCCCTGCCTCCGCCCCGCGTCCGAAGGGGCGGCCCGTCCTCACCCTCCGAGACCCGGTGGAAATGTGGCTCTTGGCAGCATGTACGTTTCTCATTGATTTTGGTTGACGCATATTTCCCCCGTTTAAATAGCCGTTAGGGCGCTGTATTGGCAGCTTGACACCGGCGAGCGAAAGTTTCAGCCTGGAAAAAAAAAAAAATGGGGTGGGGAGGAAGGGAGGAAGAGAACGGAGAGAAGGTGGAAGGGGGGGGATTTTTCTCCCCCCCCAACAACCCTTTTCTAGTTCCAAGTTTTAAATTCATGGAAGGAAGTCCGGGAGAACCAAATGAAGGAGCAGGAGGAAGGGAAGAAACTTTTGGGGTTTTTTCCTTGTTTTCCAGGAGTAGCTGGAAATTAAGATCGGATTCCTTTTCTGCCAGCTTGGAAGGGCAGCCCTGTGACTGATTGTGATTCTAAGGATGTCTATGCAAAGTTGGATTCTTGTTACAGTGTATCCAATCTGAAGTATGCACATCTGAACTGGGACTGTAAACACTGATGCCAATACAGTGTGGGGTGCCAGAAAGTGTCTGCTGATATTTGTGGGAAAAAAAAAATCTATTTTGTTTACCTACTGTATCAAAGGGGAGTCTGGGGGAGAACGGTAGTATTTTTTTTTTTAATCAGCTGTGAAAAAAAAATGTTACAGATCTGCACATTTTTGTGTGTACTAGTGTGTGTGTGTGTGTGTGTGTGCGCGCGCGCGCGCGCGTGTGTGTGTTTAAGTTTAGCCTTTTGTTCTTTTTGGTTGGCAGTGACAGGTTTTGATGACTAGCTCTTTAAAATACAGTACAAAGACTTCAAAAATGTGATTCAGGGCCCCCAGCACCCCTGTGTCTGCAGAGTGCCTTCAAAACTCAGCTGTTCCAGCCGGTGCCAACCTGTGAACTCCCCACCATGTCCCAGAATCTGCTATTCCCCAAACCACTTCCCAGTTTCCTTTCTGTAATCTTCCTGAAGGAGCCAGGACAATAGGGCCTGTTGTTTGGTGAATTTTATTATTTCCAGCCTTTAAAATGTAATTTCCATGTCTTGCAATGGCTTTCTTTCTTTCTTTCTTTCTTTCTTTCTTTCTTTCTTTCTTTCTTTCTTTCTTTCTTTTTCTTTCTTTCTTTCTTTCTTTCTTTCTTTCTTTCTTTCTTTCTTTCTTTCTTTCTTTCTTAATTTTGCTTCATTTTGTTCAAATGTTCAGGTATTTAGCTCCCCTTTTATATTATTTAAAAAAAAATTTTTTTTTTTGGTTATCTGTAAGGGTGTTCCTCCAGAAGCAAAGAGCAAAATTTTACTGTTGTGATGTACCAAGAGAATTCTAATTGTAATTTTTAATTCCAGACACGGCGTTTAATCATTGTCTCTTCGTTTTAAGACTTTTAATACAAATGTCATTTCTAAAGAAACAAATCCAAAACTATTGTTTGTGTTTCTGTGTTTCACATTCAGTGGTTGAATAGAGGATTGTGGCCGAGGTGGATAGGGGCAGGTGCATGATGCCCCCCCACGGGAGTATCTCAGTGACAAGTTGGGTGACATTATTCCTAGCTCCTTAAATAGGGAAAAAATCATGAAGGTCTAGGAACCCTTGGGGGTAGGGCCATTACCATGTACTACAATCTAAGCAGGATATTGAATCTGTTCTGCTGACATGGTGCAGTTTACCTCACTGTAGTAGGGAAGGGGAGAATACTGCCTTTGATTTGGTGAAGTCACCATCCACCTGACCAGGCAGGGTGGCACTTTTAACTTTTCTTTCTTTCTTCTCCTCTGCAGCTGCTGCTGCTGCTGCTTCTCCATTTTTTAAATGTTTTGTATGATGGTATCAAGATACCAAGTCAAAAACATGTTTGAGGATGAGGACTTCCAATTCTGAAGCCATACCCAGTAGTGTTTTCTGTAGTACATTTGTATGGGTTGTAGACAGTATCTCAACACTTAAGGTTTTGATTTGAAAGTAGATCAGTAGATTAAAAAAGAAGAGAAAGAAAAGAACTAAGACAAACCCCTTACTCATTAAACTGCAATTTGTGGACCATTTTGACCTGGTGAAATTTTCTTTCTAACAGTAGGAGGCAGTGTGAGCTGCTTTCTCGATTTTGTTTTACTTACGAGCTGCTTTACTAATATAACTTCTAAAGAATAAAAGATATAGGACTATATATATATCAAGAGCACGTGACACACCTTCAGTGTGTGAAGTGTAGCTGAAGTCTTCTGAAGGGTCTTTCAACAAGGAAATTTATATTGTTGGGGAAGCCAAAAGAAGTTCCAGGCCACAGGCATTTATAAAGCTGTATTACATCTTGCCTTAAAATGTGTCCGTTGCCTAGGGGACCTCTCACTCACTCTTCCAGAGTGGAAGAGGAATAGAGAGTGCCTGTGATGGTCCTATGGCCTTTTTTTTTTTTTTTTTTCATTGTTGATCTCCCATAAATTTAGAATCAAACTCAGTTTGAAGGCAGTATGTATACTGTAAATAGAGAAATTAAGGGAAACAACTCAAATTTATGTATTGCACATATTAAGTCTTGCATTTGAGTAAATTTGGTTCTTCGGTAAATCTAAAGTGTTGAAAATTCAGAAGACATATACCAAGTACTGTGTGAAGGATTTTTTAAAAAGGTATTTGGTGACTGTTTCTTATGTTTGGGCTTTTTTGTTGTTTTTTTGTTTTGTTTCATTTTTAGCCTTTTGACTTAAAGTGCCACCAAATATCTAACTAACTAAGACAGGTATGTACTCCTGAAAGGGAACATTTGAACATGGAAGTTTGGAAATGAATTAGTTTGCTGGGTGCATTAATCATCTTCACTCAGGATTTAGTCACTTACATGACTAAATTCTTTTTAGGTCTGAAATGCCAGGGCAGAAGATTTTCGTATGCTTTTACTGAGTACTGTAAAATAAATGCTTTTTGGAATCTCAATGGAAGCAATTTTGTGTGTGCCTGGAGCAGAAAAGTAGTTCTGATTTTTGTAGCTTCTTCCATTATTTTCTTGACAAAATTGGGAGACGTCGGGGGCATTGCTTTAAAAAATACGTAGGTTTATTTGGCTACCAAGAACCTCATGTAGTAGTATGGTGTGAAAAGAGAAGATCATTTGTTTCCATGAAAAAGTTGGGTTGCCTTGAGAGTGTTCAAGGAAATGAGGGAGTTTGCTGTAAGGCCATCATCACCTGCCCAAGAGAAACTGGGTGAGAAAGGGATCTTTATCTTGAAGAGCCAAAGTTAACTTTTTAAACTTGACCCCTGCTGTTTTTTTAGCAGCGTTTCCTTTTGGTCCCTTTCATCCAAGCTTTATGTCATTTCAAAGTATCATTTTTGCCCTTCATTGGTAATAGCCTCAGACAAACTGAAGGTAACATCGAACTCTAACGTTGTCATGTTTGGGAGTTAACAGTTCTTAAGTAAAACAATTTTCCATGTTGTTAACTGTAGAAAGAGACTTCACTGAATCAGCATTTTAGGATCAGATCAGTTTGGGGTTAGAATTCTTTACATCTATGAGGCTTTGTACTTTTATCCTTTCCTGTAGGAGGGGACCTTAAATTGCTTCTTTTCTTTGACCTGCTCTGATAGTTTCATAAGTGTTTTCACCAGCATATCAGTTTGCCTTTTGAGTTACAGTTCAGTATTCCTCACAGGTAGATTGGGAAAGTGAGAGAAAACTGCTTGTAGTAGCTGGTCTTGAGAAATAGAGGCAAAATGCCTGGACCTTCACTATCACAAAAGCGTTTATTCATTTTTACAATAGCTGGAATAAGCCACGCACTTAGAAAACAAAGATTTAATTTAGAGATCACCACTGTCGGTTAAAATGATACTTGACATTTATCACACTGTCTACTTAATTGGGAAAAGCTTGATAATATGAAAGTAGTCCTTGTGAAAATGTAGCAAATTTTTAAATACTAACAGAATGTGGTAGTTTTTATTATGCTATTGAACTCAGACTACTAGGAGTAATTGAGTGCATTTGATTGAACATGGTGCTAGTCCAGAAATTATATTTAATAACAATGGATTATGATGGTTTGAGAAGGCTCTAGGACTATCCATCCAGTCCAGAGGTTCTTAAACTTGACTGTTATTAGAATCACCTGGAGGTTAAACAGGTTCTGCTGGGCTTTTTTTTCTAGTTTCTTATTTGGTATGTTTCAATATGATATCGTAATTTTCATTTCTAACAAGTTTCCACTTGATGCTAATATTGCTGTTTCAGGGACCACACTTTGAAAACCAACTAACCAGTCAAAACTCTAAACGAGTGCTACATCAAGAGCCATCTAGATATTTAGGGACACAGACCCATGCCATACATTTTAGAGTGCTGCCTACCATAAAATCACAGAATAATCTTGATTGAAATTGATAGCTGAAGAGGGCATAGACCACTTACATCAGACTGTTGAACTGTGGAGTGTGGGATGGTCTAGCCACAATGCAGGCAGAGTGTGTGACCATTTTCACATTATGTGAACAGTTTGGCTGTGGTTTTCAGTGTTAACTTCAGAAGGTGACTAAAACAAGAAGATGATAAGAATAGGGCGTGGCCTAAGTCATCTGAATCCATTTTTCTTCCCCTTGAAAATTTTGAAAAGAATATCTTAGTATTTGTTTTCTTTTTGCTTCAAGATTCAAAAGCAAGGCTTTTAACTTTTCACATATCCCAGCAAGGATTCGAAAAAGAAAACAAAAAAAAAAAAAAAGAAAAACAAGAGAATTTAAGTTTTCAGGTCGTGGTGAGCCCACATATGTGTCTGTATGTCTGTACCTAAATACATACACTCAGTTTCTTAGACAGACTCTCAAGGAATCTGTTGGTCCAGTGTCTTGGAGTTCCACAGTTCTTCATTCTGGGACAATGCATACCCAAAAACTGCCACGCATCTTGTTTTCTTGTGTATCCTAATCTTTTGGACCCTGACCTGTTTGTTTGTCTATGTTGTAAATTGGAGGGGGCTATTTGTAGTATTCTTTTGGTTTTAAACAGACATCTTTGAGGAAATGTTTTCTTAGAATAGGAGAATAGAAAGTGTGTGCTTTTTTGCCCCACCTAACTAAACTTACATTTTTTAAATGTATTCTCTGACAAAACTATGTGTGGCTAAGTTGATCAGGGGTTTGAATATGTTTAGTTGATTTATTTGTGGCAATGGTGCAAATGTAACAAAAACAATGTTTTTTTTTCATAGATAAGAGAAACATTATTGATGCCTTCAGAATACTGGTGACCAAAAAAGGCCTGAGATTATTTCTTGACTGTTAAAAATATCCTTGCAGTGGAAGTTTGCAAACATAGCTGCAACTGATTTATTCATTATTCCATAAGTATTTATTGAGCACATACTATTAGCTGTGGTATAAGGACTAATGCTTAAATAGAAGGAAGCCAGGCAAAAGAGGGAAAACATTGTCCTTTTATCACTCTAAGCTGTGAAAATAGCACATGTTAAACAATAGGAGTAAATGGAAAAGTGCAGCTCCATGTGCCATCAACTATAATATGATACTGTGGGTTCGTCTGGCAGGCAATAGAATAGGTACATTTGTTGAGACTTGGAACTTTACCTTGAAAGGTATGTGGATATTGCAAATAAAAGTGGAGCCCATGAGGTTCGAGTAACTAATAGCTCTTTTGTTGCATGTGGAACTCTGTAATTTTGTGCATCGCTTCCAACTTCCGTTTCTAGGTTAGCTAAATTTGAACAGTTAGAAATAGGAGATCAGTTTGCTTCCACATTTTTATGTCAAAGGGAAGAAAAAACCATGGAAGAAAATACACGAGATTAGCTTTTTCAAAAAAAGAGCAAACAAAAACAGAAAATATAATTAAAATTATTTTCTTTTTGAAAAGAAGAAATTGACATAGAGTCTTTTGGGGTTCTTCATGTGAAGAAGATTCAGGGTAGGGTATCTCTTTCGTAGGAGATAATCTAAAAATGTGTGCCAAAGAGTTAAGCTGATGCTTTCTTTAAGTTTGTGACGCCAATAGGAATTTTATACAAAAGCTCTTGTTCTCATGCCTTTGGTACTTATTGGAAGAAGGCAATCAACTCTGAGAAGGAAGTGTTGGGAAACAAGCTGTAAGAGGTAACAATAATAGCAATTATTGTAAAACCATATAAATTGAAGGGAGATGTAACTATTAACCACCTGCAGTTTGCAAGATGATTTCTAGTGACTGTTTTATGTCGACTGTCTCCTGAATTAGCAACATACGTTTTTAAATATGAAAAGTTAGAGAATTCCAGAGATAGCAGAATAATTTATCTCAAGGTACTTCACTGCTTATTTTTTTAATCTGATTATAGGATCATTTATGAGATGCAAATTTATTACTTAGAGTTTTATAGCTAAAGCAAAGGTCTTAATATTTTACATTGGACCATTTATAAAAAGTTTCAAAATTTGGTTTTAGTCATGAACTCAGAATATTTTAATGTTATTTAGTATTATACATATTAATACAATATTTTTAAAAATTCTCTTCAAAGACGATCCTTATATTGAATTCTATCTCATTCAAGAAAAGAGCACCCATAGAAATCTGTACTAGCATATTTCTATATGAACATATATGTCAACAAAATATATTTTAGATAGTTTTTCATTCTGCATTTTAAGTGGGTAAGGGAAGTGCAGAAGTATATTTCTAAGTTTGATTTCAACATCATTTACCATCTAGTAGAAAAAGGCTTGAGTTTGGAGTTCTTTACTCTGGCTATCTTCGCTTTATTTCATCGTAGTACCTGTTATTTTTCTTTTTGTATACCATTCCATTCAACCACATGTGATTCATGCAAATGGCTTTCTCTGTCACAAACGTAATCTGTATTAATTGATAAAAATATCTAAGAACTCATTACCTAATGGCTATATTAATGTGTTTTCTGTGTAATAGCATAAAGAGAGAAGTCTTTTTCACACTATGTTTGAAGTCCAGACTTGAAACAGATCCAACTAGTTAGAGAAAACTGCCCACGAAACAGCCATTACCTTCAGGTTTGGGTATAGTCTCTGTGTTTCATTTTAAAAACTAATGAAGGAAGGCTTTTAAAAAACAAATTCAATCATGGGAGTGTTCATTTTAAGGTACTTGGGACTGCCTAAAAATAAGACTGTCTTTTCTTCTTCACTGATTTTGAGCAGAGGTCAAAAGATGAGAAATAACCCGAACACATTCTTTTTTTAAGAGACTCGTTTACCTTGAAAGGCAGGGACAACAATAAACAAAAACCTAATCCTAAGAACAAGACATTTTCCTGCATTTTTGTACAAACCTGCACTTCTCTTATAATTGAGGAAGCATAAATAGTGGGAAGGGCGATAAAATATTCTCTGTAGTCATTTTGGTAGCGTGCAGCAGGCAGTTTGGTACTCTTGTTGCTAAGGCAGAGGAGTGTGATGGAGCTGAGTGGGGAATCATGGGGATCAACCGCAGGGCAGGCTGATGTGGAAGTGTTCTTCAGCCCACACCCGCACTCCTGCCTGCCTCCAGTACAGAGCATTTCCTCCTGTTCGAATGTGTGACTCAGGATTTACTGAGGCTTAGTTCTGCTACTAGCCAAGGGTGAAGAAGTCTATGGGATGGCGTGATAATGCTACTATAATAAATTTGACTCTAACTCAGGGTTTTCTCAACCTCAGGACTTAGGGCTCGATAACTCTTTCCGTGGAGGGCTGCTATCCTGTGCATCTTAGAATGCTGAGCAGCATCCCTGGCCTCTACCCACTAGATGCCAGTAGAACCCCTGCAACCCAGCTGTGACAATCAAAAATATCTGCAAACATTGCCACATCATTCCCTGGAGCCAGGGGCATAAAGGCCCCTGGTTGAGAACCATCGCTCTGGACTTGGCCATGTAGAAATGGAGGAGTGAGGCATAAATCAGAGGAGAGAAATGTTAGACCTATAGTAAACTTAAAAGACTTTACTTACTCCGAGAAACTATTGCAAAATCTGAGATTATTTAAAAAAAAAAAAAAAAAAAAAAAGACTTCCCTTACTCCAGAGCATTGCAGTGAATGCTTTTCTATTAAAATATCAGTGTTCTCTATTGTGCTTGGGAAATCATCACTTTGATCAGCTCATTAAATCCATAGGAAGAGAAAAGCACAGTGTTCAGGGATTAAGATGTACTGGGGAGTTTACTTACCTGGAAGAAGGAATATGATTTATAAGGAAGGTGTGCTTTGGGTGGGGTGATAAGCTTGGATGGTCAGAGAGCACCCTAGGGCCTGCCGTTAACTAAGTAGAGGAACCTAGATGTATAGGAGGAATCCTGAAAGGGAGATCAGTGTTTTACTTTTGCTTGGGGTCCCTTAAGCCTCCACTGGGACACATCTAGGAGGTTTCCAGCCTTACTCAGCTTCCTCCACTTCACCTCACAATCTCTTCCCTGTTTATCCAGGCCCCTATTCAACATCTGGACTCCTCACTTTGGGGGAGAAAGGATGTGTTTTATGCATCCTGTCCCTCTTTATTTTGCCTTTTATAATTCTTCCCTCCCTCCCTCCCTTTCCTTCCTTCCTTTTTCTTAGCTACCTTCACAACAAATGACTGAGTGTGTCCAGAGTGGACTCCTGCTGGTTAACTGCACACACCTACCTGTGTCCAAACCCCTTAGCCAGGCTGTCAGGAAGGGGACACAGCAAAGGCAGTGGGGATTGCTTGGTAATGAAGCGCCTCTGGAATCTGGAGTCTCAAGCCAGCACAGATGCTGTGGCTGCCAACCCCTGAAACACAGCATTAAGTATCCTGTCAGCATTTCATTAATGTGGACTCAACGCAGTGACCATGGATATTTGATTAATTCTGAACCAGAAATGGTTGTTTTCGTTCTTAAGTTGTAAATGAAATACGTATTTTTAAACCTGTGCAATATACCCCTAAAAGTTTAAGCAGCCAGACAGTTAGACACCCTACCTGGTGGGACAGTTGTGATTTTCCATTTCATAGCTGGCACATTAGGAAACATTCCTAGTAGGTAGGAGATTTAACAGTTTTGTAACTGAGCGAGAACGATCTCTGAGCCCACCAAAAGGCTCTAAGCAGCCAGAAGGGCCTCCGTAAGAAAGGTAGACAGTAAAGGAAATAATTCTATAGAATAAAAAAGCACTGTTTGGTGCAAGCGGATGAGTGATTTGGAGGTTTCTCAAACTTGCTTCCCAAATTTAGGAATAATCTTATATTAGAATGAATGCTATTAATAGAAATACTTTATTCTCTGTAGTATCTTTGTATTAAGTTGAAAATGGAAACATCAGATTTAATTGCCAATGTGATCACAATTAAGATAGAGAAAACAGATTTGGTTTATCTAAATTTCCTGTTTTTCTTATACTTGGTTTTCCTCTTTTCTAATCATCTGTGCTGTTCTGCAACATTTTTTTTTTTCTTATCTCTAGCTTTTATTGGCTTTGGGGAGTGTTATGTTTCCTTTCCAATTAAAAAGTTTATAATGAGAGAAATATGAATCATTATAGCCAGTAGCCAAGAAAATATATGTATTCATAAATTTAAACACATAAATTAATGTATAGGATCTTTTTGCAGTGTCATTACTTGTGTTTACCTTTTATAGCTTAGAATGATTTTTCAATGCAATGCATTCAATGGAAATGAAATTCAGCCTTTTCTTTGATTAATTACCATTTGACTATTGTTTGAAAAACAGTAGTAATTATTTTCTTAAAGTACCATCATGAAGGCTCTCTGGTTTACATTTTAGAGCAAATTACTAACAATTTTTCGTTTAACCTTTTCCTCAGAGAAGTAGCATTTATGAATAGAAGAAAAGCATGCATGTGAATTACCCAAAAGCATACAGTAGTTGTTTGGATTTATCATGGTGGTGGTGATTTTGGCAAAATATTTGCCCTCTTAATTATAAGGAATATAATTGATTTGTACTAGCCTATAGGGAAGCATCAAAAATGCATGCACAGTAGGACTATACTGCCGTTTTGCTGTTAACAATTTTGGATACTGTATAGAGTAATAGCACACTAGAAATAAATAAACCAAATGTTGGCCTCCTAGAAAGTATTTCTGTTTAGTCATTTTAAAATGCAATTGAAAAAACTCTATGATGAAAATTTATCAGCATGATATCATAGTGCCAAACAGTGAGAATTGCCAATTTTTACATTACAAAAATTTTCCAACCATCCAAATTATTTTTTTCCTTTATTTCCAAAGTGTGGCCCATTTGCCTATTAAAAACACAGTCTTTCATTTGCCAGAGATAATGAACAGATGTTGTTGTCTGCAATTAATTCCAAATGTAGTTTAAAGTATTACATATCCGGAACCTGATGTTTACATTTCTACTATCAGAATACAAACTTTGTAGAGTCTGGCTTCACTAAGCAGTAGGTCATTCTATCAAAATAATCAAATAAGGAATAGAGTAGAGAAAGTGAGTGAATTTTATGATTATTGTCCATACCAGTGCCACTGAAATTTCATTTCCTTATTCAGTTTGTGAAACAGATACTTTCTTGGCTATTCTTTATACACATTTTAGAACAAAAATAAAATATCTGTCAGCTTGTTATTTTAAAAATTGATCTTTCAGAGTATTTTTCTCTTGGTATTATTCTTTAAAATACAGTTGACCTGATTAGAGTTAAAGCTTTTGCACAAAATACTAAATCATAGTTCCTATAGCAACCATAATTTACTCTCTTATATAACTCCCTGCTTCATGCCATGGTTAATATATGCAATATAACTCTTAATTAACTTTCATCTTTCTTTAGATTAAGTGTGTGGTTTCCAGGAATAGAAGGTGGAGGAAGGTGGAGATTGATGCCGTGTTTGTAGAATCTGCAGATTGAGAACAGGAAGATTGCTAAGTAATAGAAGAAGGATTTACTTAGGATTTCAACCATAATATTTTACATTTTGAATCGTGAAAAAAAATTATATTAAAGTGCACATTTAAATTCATGACGTATAGTGCGCATGAATGAAGTTTCTTACCTGATACTATAGATCTTGAAGTAGAGTCTCAAAAAATCATTATCAGAAAATTCAGTTAGAATACTGTATTATATAAGTTGATAAGGTGAGATATAATATTTAAGTAGTTATTTTATTTTCGCTATCTGTAAACCATTAAGAATGCAGTCATGCAGTCAATTACATATGGAGCACGAAATAAGCACTGTACCAAGAATAAGAATCCATCTATGCCTTTAATATATGAAATAGGTTTATACACTGAATTTTATTGCTGATCTCCTCCACTAGAAGTTAAGTCTATAAGGGCAAAGACTCATTCTTTTATTGCCATTGCCTAGAAGAGAGGTTGGCATGCCTCAACACTCATTATTAGTTGAATGAAGGAAGGAAGGAATGAAGGAATAAATAGTCACAAGGGGAAAGGAAGCAAGTTAGATTAGAACACTAAAAATAAGTTACAATTACCAGAAAAGGTAGAATATTTAAAAGTTCTGGGGCGCCTGGGTGGCTTGGTCGGTTAAGCATCCGACTTTCGCTTAGGTCATGATCTCGCGGTTTGTGAGTTCGAGCCCCGCGTCGGGCTCTGTGCTGACTGCCAGCTCAGAGCCTGGAGCCTGTTTCAGTCTGTGACTCCCTCTCTCTCTGACCCTCCCCTGCTCACACTGTCTCTCTCTCTCTCTCTCCTAGAAATAAATAAAAAAATAAAATAAAAACAGTAAAAAAAAAAAATTAAAAAAAAAAGTTCTGCATCAACTGTCGGAAAATATAGAATGAAAACTTGTGGCCTGTTCTTTTGTTGATTAACCCTGAAAATTTATAACATGGAATAGCAATGCTATTATAGTGTTAATGGGACTTAAATTGCCTGTAAAGTTGTCAGGAGCAAAGTCAAAAGAGTTCCAGGCAGAACTTTTGGGAAATTAGTGTGTTTTGTTACAAACCTGTGCCCTGCTTTGCATTGATTTTCCACGTGCAGGTATGCCTTGGTTTATGTAGTGGATATGATTACAAAAGAACTATATGTAAATTTAATCATATTTAAGGAAAATTAAGAAACTTACTTTTTAGTGGACCAACCTCTGAATCATTTGAAAACAGATTAATTATTCTATAGTACGAATAACCACTAGCTAACAATTTGAATTTCTGTTATCCTACACTGGATTTTTCTTATGTTAGACATTTGTTTCTTAAATTACTTTATCTTTTTAATTTGAACATCTGGAATTTTATTTTTCAGAATGGCAGACTCTTATTATTAAACTTAGCAGAGTTCACCCCAGTCATGTTTGCCTGGATTTTCTCTAATCATCTCTGTGTCTTCCTAAACCTATTTGCTGAAACTCAGGTCTATTTGGACTTATTTTTGAATAGCCGATACTGAATGGTATTAATTTCTAAGCAACAGTTTCAAAACTTTTCAAGAAACCTATAAAGTAATTCACTTGAGAGAGAATCTAGGAATATGCACATAGAAGCAAATAGAATTTTCTTATTACAACATGTTAAAAATAATTTCATTTATTACCCTTAAGATTTTTAAGATGTTTCTTTGTTTTTTGGTGTCAGTGAAGCTAGGGAGATCCTAGCCAGGTTGAAGACTTCACATCTCATTGTTCTTCCAGCCCTTTGACCCTCCCCTGAAACCCCTCAATAAAATGGTTTGAGTCCCCTTCCCCCAAAAAACATTTCTTTGTGGGGAGAAATATGCCATTTAGAAAAAGAATAATAGGGCCACCTGGGTGGCTCAGTTGGTTAAGCATCTGACTTCAGCTCAGGTCATGATCTCATGGTCAGTGGGTTTGAGACCCAGGTCCTGTGGGTTTGAGCCCTGCATGATCTCATGATCCATGGGTTTGAGTCCTGCGTCGGGCTCTGTTCTGACAGCTCAGAGCCTGCAGCCTGCTTCAGATTCTGTGTCTCCTTCTCTCTGCTCCTCCCCCATTCATGTTCTGTCTCTCTCTGTCTCTCAAAAATAAATAAAAGTTTAAAAAAATTTTTTAAAGAAAAAGAATAATAAAAAGGATATGCTATGTTGTGTCTATCAAAGACTGTTCGTAGTAAGTGTTCCTATTAAGAAAAATGGTTACATCTAAATATTGTAAATATTATAAACATACAGATGTATCTACTCTATACTTGTTTTAGGCTTCTTGTTAAATTTTTAAAATATCTTATAACTTAACTGATTTAATTCCTTACTCCCAGCAAATACTATCAGCTTTCTGTTAGCTTCACAAGAGGTCATCCATGTGCCCAGTAGGCTTTGCTCTGTGACACTGATTCTCAAAGTATGATCCCCAGACCAGCAGCCTCAGCATTCCCTTCTTACAAATGCAGGTCCCACCTCCATCACAGACTCTAAACAGTCTGTGTTTTAATGTACCCTCCATATGCTTTCATTCATGGTGAAGTTCCAGCACTAGTGCTCTGTGGAAAGGAAAACCTGCTACTAATGGTGCCTTCTTTATAGCAAAGATAAGACATTGGGGCATTGGGTGGCTCAGTAGGTTAAGTGTTCAACTTCAGTTCAGGTCATGACCTTGTGGTTCGTGGGTTCAAGCCCCATGTGGGCTTGGTGCTGACAGCTCAGAGCCTGGAGCCTGCTTTGGATTCTGTGACTTCCTCTCTCTCTGCCCCTCCCCCGCTAGCGCTCTAAAATAAACAAATATTTTAAAATTTTTTTTAGAAAAGACAGCAATAATAAAATGATGACTTTTGCCATAAAATAGCATAATTGGGATTTCCGGGGAAAGCAGATTACTTT